CAAAAAAAGGGGGGGGGGACATGTCCCTAATGTCCCTAGCCCCCCCCAAATTCCCCCCGTGTCACCTCCACCCCCCCCCCAGGTGCCTACAGCGCCAGCCCCGGCATCCAACTGGTGCGAGGGGACGTGGCCCGTTTCATCCAGCGCCGCGACAACGTCCCCTCCGACCCCGAGGACATCTTCCTCTCCACCGGGGCCAGCGACGCCGTCATGGTATGGGGAGGAGGGGACACACGTCATTGTCACCCCCAAACCCACCCCCCCCTTTACCCACCCGGGCTCGGTGCCACCCCGCCGGCCGTTCCCACGGCGGGCACCCACAAAAGGACCTTTGTGCCGGGGTTGGCACCGGCCCCGGGGACCGACGGTGCCAAGATTTGGGGGGATGGTGGGATGGTGGTGGTGGTGGCATCTAGGACGAGGTGTCCCCGCTGTCCCCACGCCTCCATGGGGCTCCTGCCAGCAACTCCTCCCCCCCACTCCAAGTTCTTGCCGCGCTGTCCCTGTCCCCTTGTCCATGGTGTCCCTTGTCCCCATGGTGTCCCCTTCATCCCTGTCCCCATGATGTCCCCTTCATCCCTGATCCCACCATGTCCCCGTGCCAGCCCAGGGACACCCCCATCCCTGTCCCCACACTGTCCCCACGCCAACACCATCTCATCCCCATGATCTCTATCTCCACACCATCCTTGTCCCCATGCCCATCTCATCCCCACACTGTCCCCATGCCCACACCATCCTGTCCCCATGGCCATGACCACCTTGTCCTCACACCATCCCATGCCCATGACCTTTATCTCCACACCATCCCTGTCCCCATGCCCATCTCATCCCCACACTGTCCCCATGCCCACACCATCCTGTCCCCATGCCCATGACCTCTATCTCCACACCATCCCATGCCCACACCATCTTGTCCCCACACTGTCCCCATGCCCACACCATCATGTCCCCATGGCCATGACCTTTATCTCCACACCATTCCTGTCCCCACACTGTCCCCATGTCCACACCATCCTGTCCTACTGTCCCCATGCTCATCTTGTCCCCACACTGTCCCCATGCCCATGATCTCTATCTCCACACCATCCCATGCCTGTACCATCTTGTCCCCACACTGTCCCCATGCCCACATCATCCTGTCCCCATGGCCATGACCACCTTGTCCTCACACTGTCCCCATGCCCACGACCTCTATCTCCACACCATCCCACGCCCATACCATCTCTGTCCCCCTGTCCCCATGTCCATCCTGGCCCCACACCGTCCCCACACCGTGTCTCCTGCCCCCTTGCAGAACATCCTGAAGCTGCTGGTGTCCGGCGAGGGGAAGACACGTACGGGGGTGCTGATCCCCATCCCCCAGTACCCCCTCTACTCGGCGGCCATCGCCGAGCTCAGCGCCGTCCAGCTCAACTACTACCTGGACGAGGACCACTGCTGGGCCCTGGACGTGGCCGAGCTGCGGCGGGCGGTGACCGAGGGACGGCGTCACTGCTGTCCCCGTGTCCTCTGCATCATCAACCCCGGCAACCCCACCGGTAAGCGGGGAGGGGACACCCGGATGGCATTGGGGACCCTTGAGTTGGAACCATTGGTCTGGGACGCCAAGATGGGACTCTGGGGCTGGGAAGGGGGACCCCAAGACTGGATTGGGACCCCTGGACTGGGATGGGGACCTTGGGATGGCACTGGGGACCCTTGGGTTGGAACCATTGGTCTGGGATGTCAAGATGGGACTCTGGGGCTGGGAAGGGGACCCCAAGACTGGATTGGGATCCCTGGAATGGGGTGGGGACCTTTGGGTTGGGACACCAAGATGGGACCCTTGGGTTGGGACCCTTGGTGAGGGGACACCAGGATGGCGTTGGGGACCCTTGGGTTGGCACCATTGGTCTGGGACGCCAAGATGGGACTCTGGGGCTGGGAAGGGGGACCCCAAGACTGGATTGGGACCCCTGGACTGGGATGGGGACCTTTGGGTTGGGACACCAAGATGGGACCCTTGGGTTGGGACCATTGGTGAGGGGACACCCGGATGGCACTGGGGACCCTTGCGTTGGGACCCTTGATCTGGGACACCGAGATGGGATTCTGGAGCTGGGAAGGGGGACCCCAAGACTGGATTGGGACCCCTGGACTGGGACCCTTGGGACACACCACACCCCCCCAGTGCCACCACGATGTCCCCTGATGCCATGTCCCCCCAGGACAGGTACAGAGCCGACAGTGCATCGAGGACGTCATCAAATTTGCCTTTGAGGAGAAGCTCTTCCTCATGGCCGATGAGGTGAGCGGGACCCAGGGGGTGTCCCCCATCTCCAGGGAGGGGACACTGGTGTCCGGGTGACACCCTGCCACCCCCTCCCTGTCCTCCCTCCCCCCCCAGGTGTACCAGGACAACATCTACGCTGAGGGCTCATCTTTCCACTCCTTCAAGAAGGTGCTGTTCGAGATGGGGCCGCCCTACTCGGAGGTGGTGGAGCTGGCCTCCTTCCACTCCGTCTCCAAGGGCTTCATGGGCGAGTGAGTCCCACCCCCCAGCTGGCCTCGGCCCCCTGGACACTGTCACCCTGGGTGCGGGTGGCCACAGTCCCATGGGTCCTTGGGATGCCACAGACCTGGGATGGGGATGGAGATGATGTAGCTCAATGTGTCCAAGGGATGGAGATGCCACCACCTCATAGATGGCGTGGGTTGGGGATGGAGATGCCACCACCCCATGGATCTCCTGGGCTGGAGATGGTGATGCCGTGGCCCCGTGGGTCTTAGGAGTGGGGATGGAGATACTCCAACCCTATGGATCTGTTGGGGTGGGGATGGAGATACTCCAACCCTGTGGAGTCCTTGGGGTGGAGGTGATGATGCCACAACCCTGTGGGTCCCAGAGGTCGAGATGGTGATGCTACAACCCTATGGGGACACCATGAGACAGTTCTGTGGGTCTCAGAAGACATAGAAGCCACAGCTTCAATGTCTAAGGTGGCTCCTTGACCATGGGTTCCTACCAAAGACCCTCCATCCATGGGTCCTACCTGTGGGTCTCTGTAGGCTCCTGTCTGTGGGTCTCCATCTAATTTCCTTGTCCAAGGCTTCTATTCCATGGGTCCCCATCCCTCCCTCCTTTTCTCTCCACGGGTCCCAGCTCATGGGTGCCCACCATTGGGTCCTTTCTGGGGGGGGGTCTGTAGCCGTGGTCTCCCACCCTGTGGGTCGCCATGGTTGCCACCAGAGGCTGTGTGGTACCAGGTGTGGGTTCCGTGGCGGGTACGTGGAGGTGGTGAACATGGACCCCGAGGTGAAGCAGCAGTTGTCCAAGCTGGTGTCGGTGCGGCTGTGCCCACCCGTGACCGGGCAGATCCTCCTGGATGCCATCGTTGACCCACCACAGCCTGGAGATCCTTCATATGACCTCTTCATGAAGGTATGGGATGGGGATGGGATTGGGATGGGATGGAGATGGGGATGGGGATGGGATGGGGATGAGATTGGGATGGGATGGGGATTGGGATTGGGATTGGGATGGGGATGGGATGGGGATTGGGATGGGGATGGGGAGGGGAGGGGATGGGATGGGGATGGTGACAGAGATGGAATGGGATGGGGGTGGTGATGGGGACAGTGATGGGATGGGGATGGTGACAGGGATGAGATGGGAATGGTGGCAATGACAGTGATGGGAGGGGATGGTGGCAGGGATGGGATAGGGATGGTGACGGTGATGGCAATGGGATGAGGATGGTGACAGGGATGGGATGGGAAGGGAATGGTGACAGTGACAGTGATGGAATGAAGGGATGGGATGGGATGGGGATGGGGATGGGATGGGATGGGGATGGGATGGGGATGGATGGAGAGGAGATGTCCCTGTCCCGGCAGGAGAAGAAGGCGGTGCTCAGCGCCCTGGCGGAGAAGGCCCGTCTCACCCAGGAGATCTTCAACAAGTGTCCCGGCATCCACTGCAACCCCGTGCAGGGCGCCATGTACTCCTTCCCCCGCATCGAGCTGCCGCCCCGCGCCCTGGCTGCTGCCAAGGTGCCGTGGGGCTGAGTGGGATGAGTCCTGGGTTCCATGGGGCTGGTCAGGATCCACCCCAGGGGCTGTGGGGTTGGGCAGGATGAGTCCTGGGAGCTATGGGGTTGGGCAGGATCCATCCTGGGAGCTATGGGGCTGGTCAGGATGAGTTCTGGGGGCTGTGGGGCTGGTCAGGATGAGTCCTGGGGGCTATAGGGCTGGGCAGGATGAGTCCTGGCCAATGTGGGGCTGGTCAGGATGAGTCCTGGGTTCCATGGGGCTGGGCAGGATGAGTCCTGGGGGCTGTGGGGCTGGGTGGGATGAGCCCTGGGTTCCATGGGGTTGGTCAGAATGGGTCCTGGGCAACGTGGCGCTCTGTAGGATGAATCCTGGGTTCCATGGAGCTGGTCAGGGTCCACCCCATGGGCTGTGGGGTTGGGCAGGATGAGTCCTGGGATCTGTGGGGCTGGTCAGGATGAGTTCTGGGGGTTATAGGGCTAGGCAGGATCCATCTTGGGAGCTATGGGGCTGGGCAAGATGAGTCCTGGCCAATGTGGGGCTGGTCAGGATGAGTCCTGGGTTCCATGGGGCTGGGCAGGGTCCACCCCAGGGGCTGTGGGGTTGGGCAGGATGAATCCTGGGAGCTATGGGGTTGGGCAAGATGAGTCCTGGCCAATGTGGGGCTGGTCAGGATGAGTCCTGGGTTCCATGGGGCTGGGCAGGGTCCACCCCAGGGGCTGTGGGGTTGGGCAGGATGAATCCTGGGAGCTATGGGGTTGGGCAAGATGAGTCCTGGCCAATGTGGGGCTGGTCAGGATGAGTCCTGGGTTCCATGGGGCTGGGCAGGGTCCACCCCAGGGGCTGTGGGGTTGGGCAGGATGAATCCTGGGAGCTATGGGGTTGGGCAAGATGAGTCCTGGCCAATGTGGGGCTGGTCAGGATGAGTCCTGGGTTCCATGGGGCTGGTCAGGATGAGTCCTGGGGGCTATAGGGCTGGGCAGGATCCATCCTGGGGGTTGTGGGGCTGGACATGAGGAGTCCTGGGCAATGTGGGGTTGTTCAGGATGAGTCCTGGGTTCCATGGGGCTGGGCAGGATGAGTCCTAGGAGCTATAGGGCTGGGCAGGATGAGTCCTAGGAGCTATGGGGCTGGGCAGGATGAGTTCTGGGGGCTGTGGGGCTGGGCAGGATGAGTCCTGGGTTCCATGGGGCTGGTCAGAATGGGTTCTGGGCAAGGTGGGGCTCTGTAGGATGAGTCCTGGGGTCTGTGGGGCTGGTCAGGATGAGCCCTGGGTTCCATGGGGCTGGTCAGAATGGGTTCTGGGCAATGTGGGGCTCTGTAGGATGAGTCCTGGGTTCCATGGAGCTGGTCAGGGTCCACCCCAGGGGCTGTGGGGTTGGGCAGGTTGAGTCCTGGCCAATGTGGGGCTGGTCAGGATGAGTCCTGGGTTCCATGGGGCTGGTCAGGATGAGTCCTAGGAGCTACAGGGCTGGGCAGGATCCATCCTGGGAGCTATGGGGCTGGACATGAGGAGTCCTGGGCAATGTGTGGTTGTTCAGGATGAGTCCTGGCTGCCATGGGGCTGGGCAGGATCCATCCTGGGTTCCATGGGGCTGGGCAGGGTCCACCCCAGGGGCTGTGGGGTTGGGCAGGATGAGTCCTGGGCAATGTGGGGCTGTTCAGGATGAGTCCTGGGTTCTATAGGGTTGGGCAGGATCCATCCTGGGAGCTATGGGGCTGGGCAAGATGAGTCCTGGGCAATGTGGGGCTGTTCAGGATGAGTCCTGGGTTCCATGGGGTTGGTCAGAACGGGTCCTGGGCAATGTGGGGCTCTGCAGGATGAGTCCTGGGTTCCATGGGGCTGGTCAGGGTGAGTCCCAGGCCTTGATGAAGCCCCTTTGAGACATGTGGGTCTATGGGTGCCCCATCTATGGGTCTGGGCCACCCCGCTGTGGGGATGGCTGTGGGAACGCCGTGGTGCTGAGCCCTTTCCCTGCCCCACAGGAACAGGGTCAGGCCCCCGACATGTTCTTCTGCATGAAGCTGCTGGAGGAGACGGGCATCTGCGTGGTGCCGGGCAGCGGCTTCGGGCAGCGAGAAGGCACCTTCCACTTTCGGTGGGTACCCGAGGGGACAGGCGTCGGGGTGGGGGGCATCAGGGGGGCAGGGATGGAAGTTGTGGGGGGATCACAGGTGGAGACACGGGGCTGGACCACCCCCA